AATTTTCTGTGTAGTAAATCTCCAGTATATTTTAAAACTATTTTCTTATTTAAAAACAGATTTTTCTGTATTTTCTGTAAATCTCTTGTATATCCACAAACTTTTCTATTTCTTAAAAACAGAAATTCTGTCCTTTTGTGATAAAGTTCCTGTATACTGACAAACGCTTGTATTATTTAAAAACAGAAATTTTCTCCATTTTTAAAGTAAATAATCTATGTATCCAAAAACATTCCCATTTTTTAGAAAACATATTTTTCTTCATATTTATACAGTAAATTTCCTGTATATTCAAAAACTGTTATTTAAAAACAGCAACATCTCTGTATATCGACAAACATTTCTAGTATTTTTTAAAAATGTTTCGTAGTCACAAAAAGACTTATTTGAAAAACGAAATGTTCTGTATAACGTTTTTACAATAAATCTTCAGCACATTGACAAACATAATATACTAGAACTACTAAAACAGGAGTTTTTAGACGCTTCTAACTTGTTTGTATCTAAATGCTGCGGCCTGTTTTGATGACATCATTTGTTTTGTTTCTGTCGCGTGACATGAGGACATTAGCTTCCCAACGCAGCTACATCAGCTGTAATCTGCAGCACCAGCCGCTGTTGTACACAATGACAGCTGTAATCTCTCTTTGTGACTCCATTTCCCGCTAACGTGATTACTGAATCTGTGCTGTGTTTTCATTTATCTGCTCCGCTGCTCTCCGTGCCTCAGTGTCTGCGGTTGGTAATCAGTCAGCTTAGCTCTTCGTCTCGGTAAACACCCGGAAGAGATCCGGCCAATCACAGCCAGAGCTGGCAGACCGGGTAGCCAATGGAGGCGGGGGACGCTCGGTCCCGCGTGACACGGTGACCTGCTGCACGTCGGCGGGCGTTGCTATGGGAACGCTGCTGCACAGAGCCGCTGCGCTGAAATGCAACGGAGGAAGCAGAAAGGTAGGGAGACGCTGTGGGAGTTTCCTGGAAATGTTTCTTCAGGTTTTACAAAGTCTTGATCCAGCAGAGAAACTCTGAATACTTTGATTCATGAGTCTGAATATGACTGGACTCTGAAAGTGCAACTATAAAATGCATCCGCCTTATTGACATCAAAAATTATGTGGGTTTTTTAAACACATATTGCTCATCTTCAAGTTTCATTTTGCCAAAATGAAGTTATTTAATATAATTTTTACCTATCGTCCTGAGTTCTTATGGTTTTACATTTGAAGCAATGTCTAAAATGTTAGATGTTGCTAATGCCAACACAATGTTTGGCAGAAGCTGATGCTAAAACTTCAATTCATATTATGCAAACAATAAACATACATGAACAAAATAAAACATGGAAAGCGGAAAACAAGATGTAAAAGGGAAGTTATAGAACAAGTAATGTCAAAATCAAATTGTAGCTTGATGGTTGTCAAGATATTGGGGGGAAAAGACCCTTCACACTCTTCAAAATAAGAGCATGAATATCAACGGATAGCAAACTGAATAATTCCTAAAATTAAACAACCAAATTTCAACACAGATCCTGAGTTTTGTTAAACTGAAAGGTCACAAAACAGCCAAGTAAATTAGTGTTTTAGAATGTATGCAGAAAGTTTACAAAGTTAGCTAAATGCTAAAGCGCTAAAAGGCGGCTTAGATTATTAAGACCTGAGCTGATTTTAAAGTTAATGTAGAAAGCCTTTCTTCATCAATAAAATAAATCCAAATTTTCAAACATCTTTTTTTAATTTACGTCTGATATTAAAACAACAACAAAAAAATCTGAACAAATCTGCAGCAAAATGAATACTTTTACACCCGGTGGGTATGCTGGGTAAAAGTTTTATAGATGTTCTTACTTTTCATTTTATTTCTATATTGGACTACTTTCAAACATATGTTACCGAACCGGAACAAATCTGAGTAATTGCTGACCATGTGAATCAAAGTCTTGCTTCAATCATATTGAATTGATGGCAGCAGGTCAAGGAAACATCTTCTTCATAAAAGGTTTGTCTAAGAACTGGTAATAAGGTGCGTTGAGGTTCAGTGGAAGTCAAAACCCAACACGTTTCTGCAGAACTTAATCAAAGCATAACTTTCATGGAGAAAAGGTCAAAATAAAGATTGAAATGAAGATAACTCCACCCACAGCAATTAAATCAAGATTATCTCACACATGAATAAAAACAAAACAGATCTATATTCTGTTTCTCTTCCAGGCTTGCGCTATTTAAAAACTTCAGTTCCCCAAACACAAATCTTATCTCGCAGATCTATATAAAGGAGTTCTGTTATAATAAGGACACTGTGTACCACTGGAGCTAGATAAACACTGATAACTAGGCCAATCTCTGCTGCATTTACCGTATGTGGGTTCAGATACTCAGCGAGCTGAAGTGACTCTCCGACGCGTCTCGTTTTATCAGAACCATATTTGTCGGTGCCGTTCTTTCCGTAATGATCTCACTCGTCTCATGATTAGCGAGTATCTTGCATAATCATCAGGCTAATCTATCATTCCCTGCAGCTGTTGGTCCATTTCTCCCGTTTTTGTCCTAAATCAACCCCTGAAACCAGTCCGCTGTGTGAATTTGATCAGGACTCGTGCTGTTGGGTGGCCTTCTAGTTGTAGAGTTATGTAATGAGGTTTGGCTGCATGTCTGCGGCTGTTAGCTCGTCATCACGCTTACTAACTTTCTGCATGCGCAGGCTTTGCATGTTTCTGTTTTAAATTATATCTGAGAATCTCATCGAGTGACTGAACTGAATCGAGCTGTGAAGAAAATCTAAATTATTCCAATTTCATGGCGAATGTCACGCTGATTTAGATCACGCAAATGAAATGATTGATTTAATTGCAGATTTCTAAAAGGAAGCAAATTCAAACAGAAATACATAATTAAACAAAACACATTAATGCTTTTGTTGCATAATATCGGGGGGGAAATGCAGTCTGGAGAAATCTTTCAAGGATGTAGAATAGAATAACCTTAAACTTGTATTTTTATTAACTTAAATAAGAAAGACTAATAAGAAAATACTGCTAAGACAGCTTCTACTTGGTGTATCAATGCATATTAAGATATATTTGGTGTTTGAAATATTAAAATAGGCGGTTTTAGAGAGATTCTGTCAACTATACTATTAAAATTTAACATGATGTAAACCGCCAAATAAAAAAACTAACTGTGCTAACCCTAAATTGCTAATAATAAACATTAAATTTTGCTAAAGTGCAAGACAAACATGATATTTATTGGAAGCTAGTGTTAAGCACTGACATGCTAAATTCAACCATGTTGGTACAAACTATTTGTCACAAGGAAGACGCAGGAAGACGTGATATCAGGCGAATACAGGAATAGTTTTACAAGAAATCCTACCCTAGAAAATAACGAGGAATGTAAACGAGGAATGTTGAGCTAATTGTGAAGATATACTTTGGATAATTTTTTTTAAAATAACACCTAAACAACAAATAAAATGAATTAAGTCTCTCTAAACAAAACTATCCTTCAAAATAAGAGCTGGTTGAGACCAAAGCACCAGACTGAAGATTTTTATTATCAAGTTTTTGGTAGAAAAAGAGAAAGAAAAAAAGAAACAATAGAGCATATGGCAAAATATCTATTATAATGGAACCTGGATCTGGTATGACAATGTTCTTTTAAACATTGTCATACCAGAAAACCACAAACCTTTTTTCCTCGTCCCCTAATGTGACGACTGAAGGCCTCGGACTGCAACACGTCTGAGTGTTCAGGCTTCAGAAGAAAGACGTAAAAAATTAAAGCCGATGTTAATATTAAATTGCACAAGCTGCGCTGATGTAACATGTTGGCTGTGTGTGAAAGTGTGTGAGTCGGAGTGACTGTGTTGTGGTGCAGTAGAAGCGCGGATGACCCCGTATGACCCCTGGAGAGATTCCTCCCACTGTGCATCTGCACCCAGCCTGTCAGTCAGATGGACTTTTTACTGAATTTCAGAGATTTCACATGGACAGCTCATTTCTCACATCCTCACAGTTTCAAAACACCCACAATGCATCTGTTGGTGTGCCTCTCTCTCTCTCTCTCTTTCAACGATTACTGTAATCAGATTACTTTTGTTCAGGTAACGAGTAAAGCAATTGCAAAAAACAAAAAAAGTATTGGCTTACTGTTACTGCCGACTGCGTTAGGATTTTGTTTGTGTGTCGTCATGATAACGGGCAGGTGTGTGTGGATCAATAACAGACAACATGGAGTGTGTGAGAGTATGACGGTGTTTAGGTGCCATCATGGATAAAAATAAAAGGAGCAAATTTCTGCCAAAAAACTCTTACAATTTTGAGCTTGATCACAGAAATATTGTAGGAGAAATCTAAACATTTCTGAGATTCAAAAGTTGCAAATTTGCAAGAAAAAATCTCAGAAATATTGAGATAAATCTCAGAAATGTTTTTGGAAAAACTTTGAAAATTCAGAGTTTCAAAAATTCAAAATGTGTTAGAAAAAAATTCTGAAATTTTGAGATTAATTTCAGAAACAAGTAAAAAAAAAATTTCAGAACACACACATTTTAACCAAAAATCCCCCAGATAAAGACAAAACCTGCAGTTTTTGTTAAAAGTTTTTTATGGAAAGAAATTTTCTTTTGCCTGATTGTATTTTTGTTACTTATACAAATCATTTTCATTTTGATTCTTAAAATACCACAATTTCCACTTAACTTTATGTTTTGATGACGTATTTTTAAATATTAAATGATTCATAATTTGATAAGTTACTCAGATACTGGTGCTGTATTTAATTGGATCAATAGTAGACTTTACAAAATACTATTTTACTCCAGTAATTTCTCCCATGGCTACTTTTTACTTTAATTTGAGGAAAAATATTTTGAAGTGTCTCTTACTTGACTACAATTTTTGAGAACTCTGCCCACTTCTAATAAAAAGGTTTTTTTCAATCAAGTTGTTCCAGTAAATCTAATTGAGTGAATGTATTATACGGAGCTTTGGGCCTTACCTCCATCCGAGTACGTCTCCGTCCCGTAGCCATCCTGCAGCCCGTTGTTCCACGTCCCCTCGTACTTCCCGCTCGTCCCGGTGCTCTCCCGCACGCCGTAGCGTCCCTTAAAGCCGTGCGTCCACTCGCCTTTGTACACCCAGCGGCCTTTGTTCTCCACGCCCAGGCCGTGCCTCTTCCCCTGAGCCCAGGTGCCCTGGTAGGTGTTCCCGCTCGGCCAGGTGTAGACGCCGAGCAGCTCGAAGCCGTGCGCCCAGGAGCCGCAGTACTCGCCCTGGCCCTTGGGTCCCGTGCAGATCCCGTAGCCATGCGCCTTGCCCTCCTCCCACCCTCCGCAGTATGACCCCCCATCGTCAAAGTTGAACCTGCCGCCAGTGGACATGCATGAAACAGCTCTTGGCAATTCCCCCGAAGCCTCGACAAAAAGAAAGAGAAAAGAAAAAGAAAAGAGAGGGAGGAAAAAGAAGGGCAGGTTGGTGCCAGAGGTGGGCGGATCGATCCAAAAAATACAGATAAGATCGGACAGATAAGATCGATTCTTTTCGTACTGTAGAGATTTTGTTTATTTAGCTAAAATGCACACAGATTTGTTCTGTTCTTCTACAGTTTCTGTTTATCATGTTATTAAATTTTGTAGACTGTTATCAACTTTGTCCAAATTTTATTTTAAGGGAATAATTCAAAGGAAAAACATCACAAAAGCACTGATTGCAGTTTTCTGACTGATCTCTGGTCTACTGATTCTGATTTTGAACAAGATCAGTTTTTTTGTTTTTGTTTGAAATGTTGGTAAAGAAAATAAGAAAAGTCATTAAGTTGGTAGCAGTGGGGAGATTACTGTGAACTGGAGACATGAAGCCATGGACCAGTCTGCCAGTCAAACCTTTTTCACAGCAGAGGAAGAGTGGCTGATTTTTGTCAAGGTAGAAAAGATCAGCCAATCATCAAGCTCCAAAAATTAAGGAAAGTGGGGGCAACTTTTCAGCCCCCTATTTATTTATTGGTGTGCCCCAAATTATGTCGTAGATTTTAACAAAATAATTAAAAGAGGGGAAAAAAGAGGTTTGCACCGATTGCAGTTTTCTGGCTAATCTTTAAAAGTCAGATCAGCAGATTCCAAATTTTGGCCGATCTGGGTCTGTCAGGATAACCGTTTTCACAGCAGATCAAAACAAGGACAGTGACTGATTAAATAGTCTAGGTGGATGAGATCGTCTACAAATGTAAGTATTGTCTGATCGACATTATCTAAAAATTAAGAAAATTAAAGCCGATTTATCATTGCAACCCTAAATAAACTGCCCAAATTCTGTCCTAGGTTCCAACAAAATCATTAAAACTGGGGAAACCCCTCACAAAAACACAAAGTTTGGTGATGTATCAAACTTAAATAATAAAAATATTGGTAATATAGATTTTGCCGGTGTCTGTATTGGCGATACTGCCACTGTATTTCCTTAGACTGATATAAAAATATGCCATATTGCACATTTCTACTGGGGTCCAAATTATGTCCTAAGTTTTATTGAAATAGTTCAAAGGAGAAAAAATACATGAAGTTTGATGATATATCAAACTTAGATAATAAAGATATCAATAACTGTATTGATATTGGCGGTAGTGCTGCTGTATTTACTTTGATTTATTGATGTTATTGTTTACTGGGGTCCAAATTCTGTTCGAGGTTTCAATGAAACAATTCAAAGGAGGAAAAAACCCCACAAAGTCTGAGTCTGAAGTATCAAACTTAAATAATAAAAATATCGGTATCTGTATCGGAAATACTGCTGCTGCATTTACTTAGATCGATATCAATATGTTATCACACACCTTTATAGGGGCCCAAATTCTTTCCAAGGTTTTAACAAAATAAAGGGGGAAAAAAATCACAAAAACACTAATTTTGATGACATATCGAACTTAATAAAAAATATCAGTTTCTGTATCGATATCTGCGATGCTGGAGCTGTATTTAATTGGATCAATACCAAAATCTGGCGTATCGCACACCTCCACTGGTGGGTTTGGGGGTTAGGAGGCTGGAAAAGGAGGCCCCACCTCTGTTTTCAATGAAAGGAGGTGAAGGATGAAAGAGGGGTCTTCCACCCGGACCCTGATCACACCATCATCCCTCCGGCTCAGATCGGCTTGGCTAGCACCTCCCGGGTCCTCTGCAGCCCATGCAGGTGGGAGAGGAGCAGAGTTGGCCCGGAGCTGCCATTATCCTCTCTCAGATGGAGTTTCACCCATCAGACAGTCTACGACACAAACTCTTCCTCCCACTCAGGCCCACTTGTTCTGCCGCCTCCTACCTGATGATGCCGAGAAGTTTCCCTGCGGAGGATCAAACCCGGTCAAGGCCTCCAAAAAAAAACATTTGAGGAAAGGAAAAATACTTTCTCCTCCTAGCTTATTCCCAAAAATCCAGAAAAAAATGAAAAAGGGTTTCACTTCAGACTCATCGTCTTTTCCTTCTCACATGCATATTGAGTGTTACGGCACAATGCATGCGGGAGGGAGAGTGAAAATGGGGGAAAGCACAAAGATACTCAGCTTTGAAGGCTGAACACCAATGCAGTCTCCAACCTTCTGCAGCCACACACACTCACACACACACACACTCAGAGAGAGAAACAGTGCGCACCCTCCGACAATAAAAGATAAAGAAGTAAACTGATGAATTTCTCTCCTCTCTCTGCCTCTCAGTCTGAATGCAGGTTTAATCCACTGCGTCCATAAGTGGTTTATCCTCTGCGTGGGTTGCCTTCAGGTTGCCTGGTTGTTGCCTGCTTTGATGAAACAACATCCATCTATGAGGTCCGCGTTGCTCCGTGTCCTCTCCTGCTCATCTCCATGTTTCCCTATGGAGCACCGGCTGACGCACAGCCTGCTGCTGCTGCTGCTGCTGCTGCCCCGCTCCCAGTCTCCTCTGACGGCCGGATGGCTCCCCCCTCCTCCCTCTCTCTCTCTCTCTCTCTCTCTCTCTCTCTCTCTCTCTCTCTCTCTGTACAGAGGACTGTTCCAATGCAGCTGGCGCCAAACCGCCCCCTCCCCTTCTCTGCTCAATAGCACAATCCGGCTATTTTAAAGAGACAGGTGCTGCATCACCTGTGGCTCATCATGGAAAAGCCTTCACATGTTTCACGCTGTTCTATTTACCTGACGGTGATTTCTAGTTAATCTGACGGGATTATTTCCACAGGGAGAAGTTAGTAAAGGTATAAAGGCTGGTTATTTATTTTTCAGTATTTTCACCATGTTGTTCATTCATTTATGCATGCAACAGTTTCAAACAATTTTTTTAAATGAGCAAACTAAATATTTACTGTGGAGGAAAATTTTTAGTTTACAATTTAAATATTTAACTCTAAACTAAATACTTAGTAAACAAGCTGAATATTTTGTTCACAACCAACATGTTGGCTCCAAATTAAATATGGAGTCAGCTCACTAAACAATTATGTAACAAGCTAAATATTTAATAATATTTACTTTGGAAACTAAATTTTTAGCTCCAATATAAATATTTACTTTGAAGTTAAATAATATAAATTACATATTTAATTAACAAGGATGGTAAAATTGGCAAAATAGCCAATTGTTACAAATTAAAAATTTCATCCAAATTAAATGTTTTTAGCTTTAGCTAAGAATTTGTTACAAGTGAATACTTAGTTAAACTAAATGTTTAGTCTACAAACTTAATCATTTTAAGCCAGTATTTAAATTGTAAGTTAAATATTTCACTTTGGGGAGTCAAACATTTAGTTAGCAAGCTAAATGTTTAGTTTTTTAGCTTGCTAGCTAAATATTTAGCTATGACATTATGATGCAATGTCCCTCTCTTTATATAACACATGGATGCATTAATGCACTAAGTGTTTGTGCATCATGTCTCCAGGATTTCTCGTCATTAAAGTTCAAATCGACCATAAGCAGCTTAAATGAACAAAAGTCCTGAATCTTTTTTATCTGATGACTGAAATGCTGCAGAAAATGTTTCCTTTTAATCTTCAGAGAGTAGCAGAAACTTAACAGCAGGAAAATATTAATCTGTGATTTATCTGCTGGTTTCCAATTATATTTTAATAGTATTTTCCCCTCAGTTAATTCAGCTGTGTTTTTTCCTTTCAGTGGTTTTCTCATGGGTGTTTAAGTGTTTAAGTAGTAGGACTTTTTTGCCATTGTGGGGTAATTACATTCCATTGCTCAAGTTGAAAACCAGCATTTTCTATTCTGAATCCCCACTAAAATGCAAAGTTGGACTTGTAATATTTGGGTCAGGCAATAGCGAGGACAGCTAGTCGCAAACTTAACATGTGATATTTCGTACAGAGTTTAGTTTCCTTATTGCAGGGAACTTTGTATGCGTGACTGAAAACGTGAGTTTTATATTTTTTCATATGATGTTGATATGTGGACTACAGTCATGTTCAGATGTAATTCCTGCAGCAGTGCTTGTTATGTTTGCAGTGTAATTCATCAGTGTTACTGATGAGAAGCGAATTTAGCGAGCTGAATGTCACATGTATGACATAGACATTATGTGTATCATTGCTTTATGTTTTTGCTGTTGTTGTGTTGCAGATACGATAAACCGGTCCTGTAATTTGGACGGAAAGTGCAAACCTTCATCAAACTGCTAAATTAAGAGCTCTGCCTCCAGGTCACCTCTTCAATCAGAGTCCCACTGCAGATGAAGAGCCAGTGAAACAGTCTCGATTTATTGCATTCTCATTTTTTCAGTTTTTCCTTACAAGCAGATGAATCTTCTTCCTTTGTTTCATTTTTCAAAGATTTGTGCATATTTCTAACATCGCTGTTGACCAAATACTCATATATCTCGCTACAAAGTTACTTGTAAGTTAGTTTTATCTTCTTTCCAGATCACTAAGATATTTGCACTACAAACTAAACCAAAAATACTTGGTTTAGTTGGAGGAGCTTTAAAGTTTTGCACAAAACTTTTAAATAGTTAAACTAGAATTATTCAGTTTACTCTCAGATTCCACAAACCTCAGGAAGCACGTTTGTGAATATTATGCTCCATGGCAATCCTAAAGAAATAAACTTCCATCCTCTGCTCTGCTCTGGATGAAAAGGTTAACTGCTATACATCTTTTCTCTAGAATTTGAGCCATTTTGTTGCGGAGGCCACGAGCTGCTGCTATTCGATACGGATCATGTCGAGGATTTAAGCAATTGTTCGACTAGCTAACTTCCTTAAGTCATAATCCCTTTGTTGGAGTCAGGGAATCTCAGTAACCCTCCCTCTCTCTTTTCCGTCCAGTCATTGACCTTCTCTCCCTCGTTCTCTTTTTTCTGCTTCCCCTCCGTCTCTCAGTGTTCAGAGAGCTCAGCTGTAATCCTCAAACTCAGTGATTTTATTACTGTAATCTGGCCTGGAATTGGCTTAGCTACTCTGCAACCAGGAGAACAGGGACAACAACAGGACATCTGCAGGACGGAGGAGGAATGGAGAGAGGAAGACATGGAAGACGATGTTTGACAAGCAGCAACTCAAGAAGTTGAAGGAGGGATAAAACTGGACTGAAGAGCAGCTGATCTGCATTAGTACTGAAGACGATAAGAGCTATTGAAAAACAGGATTTTTTTCTTAAAATTTAATGTTTTTTTCTGAAATCTGATTTATTTTCTGAAAATATTTGCATTTATTCTTTAAATCCAAACTATTTCTCAAAATTCTGGCCTTGTCCTCAAAAATCTTTTTTCTCAAAATTCTGACTTGTTACTTTTTGTCACATTTCAGAATTTTCTCCAAATTCAGAATTTTTTTTTCAAAAATCTTTTTTCTTAAAATTCTCACCTAAATTTCTCAAATTAGTTTTTTTTTTCAACATTTTGGCTTTTTTCTGCTCAGAATTCTGAATTTAATCTCAGAATCCTGATCTTATCCACGAGTCTAATTCTGTGCCAATCACTTGTATTGACACAGTATTATATATCATTATATGATATTGTCAAAAATAATTAGACATTCTTGCTGTATGTTACTTACGTTGTTAGCATAAGAAAACAACTTTAGTCCTTAACAAGAACTCGTGTTTATTCGGAGCAATCCGATTGGCTGATTAGCGCCACACTGCCCCCTATATGTTTGGCATGTTTACTACAGTCGGGAAAATTTATTCAGATTAATGCTGATGTAATCTTTCCTGAAACCGATTTCTTGTGTGTATGGTATGTTTTCAAACATATTGGTGCAAATATTGGTTCAATAAAGACGCAGCTATGTGCGTTCAGGGTTTTGCTTTGTTTTTATAAACACTCTGATATTATTTGGAGCAAAATGTGATCTCTGCATGTTTGCTCACCATCTGGTCGTGTTTGAACAGCGTGTGGCAACTCCAGGCGATCAATGAGAGCGCTCCTCTGAGCGGTCAATACGTCCAGACAGGAAGTGCAGCCAACCAAAACACGCAGCGTTCCTCCAAACAGCTGCACCTCCAAACAAAATGCAGCAGAGGAAACAAACTTTCAGGTTCTTGATTTGTCGTTTTTCCAGCTGGTTCGTTCACGAGTGACGTTTCCACGTAACACAGCGTCAGCAAAACACGAACGTCTCTTTTTTTGTCCTTGGGTTGAGTTTTCACTGGAGAAAACTCAGGAGCCTCGTTCTTGTCCTCTATTATTCATCAGCCTCTCCACATCCTTCGCTTGGATGAGGAGAGGCTGACGGAGGATGAAATAGGCCATGAAGGGGCCGAGACGGACAACCTGCACTCATCCCTTCATCCTCTCTTCCTCCTCCAAACATCCATCCAGACTTTGATCATTCTGATTTTTTTTAAACAAATCAGATATTTGAATCCAATAAAAAATGAAACATGCTTTTTTACATATTTGTTAAAACTGTCACCATGTTGTGACAGAATAGATGACAAAAGATCAATCGACTGCCATCTGAAGAAATGTAGCGCTTCCACCAAAAACAACCAATCAGAAACAGTTTTTAAAATTATTTTCAAATATTAATGAAAACTAAAAGCTTAAAGTTGTAAGGTAAACATAACTTTATGAAGGGATAACTTCAAATTGTCATCATTAAAAGTCTTTGAGAAGTTTTAATAAAACAAATCTCACACAAACAAAATTAAATGTATTACCAATTATTATTTATTCAGATTCGCTGCATCATTTGGAAGTTTATGTTTAGATGTTTACAGACTCCAGTTTTATTACAGGTTATGAAGTTTAATTGAATATAAAGGTAAACAAACTCACTCACTCACACACACTCTCACTCACTCACTCACTCACTCACTCACTCACTCACTCACTCACTCACTCACTCACACTCACTCACTCACTCACTCACACTCACACTCACTCACTCACTCACTCACTCACTCACTCACTCACTCACTCACTCACTCACACACTCACTCACTCACTCACTCACTCACTCACTCACTCACTCACTCACTCACTCACTCATTCACTCTCTCTCTCACTCACTGTTCTGATTCCCACTATCGGTCTTCATAGAAGACTTTCGCCATTGCAACGGCAACTTTGGCCACTTTTTTGTCCTTGGCGTCTGGCCCCATGTTGGCACGTGCGAGTTTAACCCAGTACGGCTCGGTCCGGTTCTGGTAGTCTGTCAGCATCTCTCCCTCCTGCACCGCGGGGTGCTCCTCTTCCTCTTCCTCCTCCTCCTCCTCATCCTCTGAAAACACAGTTAAATCTGTTAAAGGCGCAGAGGAAAAGATTTTTTAACTACAAGTTCCCTTTGTAGTTAAAAAAAGTTTATTCAATCAAAATTAATGCTTTGAAAGTTGAAAACAAACGAGAAGTCAAGAATAATTATGCAGCAGCTTTTACAATTTATATTTTTCACAAATTAGAAATATTTTAAAAAGTGAGTAAAACTGGAAAAAGCAACAAAAAATAAAGTAACAGATCCATCAAATGTAATTTCCAAGCAACAAAGGAAGCACTTGTTGCAGAACACATCAAAGATGCTGAGTAACCCCTCACCTTCATCATCCTCACTCTCTTCCTCCTCCTCCTCTTCCTCTCCTTCTGCTCCTCTGGGTTCCTCCTCCTCCTCTTCATCCTCTGACTCAGACTCTTCCAGCCACTCCTGCGTCTCTGTAGAGACAGAAATCATAAATCATCATGAAGCCTCGCAGCCTCAGCTGGGATCAAAGCGGCGTCTGCCGGATTGGCTCGCTCACTCGGGTCCATTTCCACCAGAACCTCCCACTGGTCCATCTTGTGCAGGTCCAGGCAGTAGAAGTCGCTCAGGGTGAACTGGCGGTCTCCCACCTCAAACATCCCGC